ATTTGCATGAAGAGCGAAAAGCGTTCTCAGTAATTGTTTTCTGATTCTTTTCTCTCTTCAGAAATCTGATTCCTTCAAAGATTTGATGTGTTTTTTAGGCAACTCTTCTTGAAAATTTGACGTTTTCGCTCTAAACTGATTACATTGTCCTAACGTTTACATGATGAGACGAAAAGTGATTTTAAATTATATCAACATGTTCAGCACAAGTTTTAAACGTTTACAAGGATCCTTCAACTTGGTCATTCCAGTTGGCTCTTGCAAAACTTGCCCTCATCTAACTTCGCATTAAGCAACGGAAAACATCCCAGTATTAGATTTGAAATCTTCCAACGAATACTTAAGGAAGTAAAGAGGGTTTGACAGACTAATACGGTGACGGCATTCTGTTCACATCCACGATGGCGTTGATGGGGCGACCTCACGTCCACTTCAGGGTCTTCTACAAGTGAATTAGTTTCACGACTGATGTCTAATGTCGCTGTAAAAGGCTCCCGAGGTCTTGAAAGTAAATGGCAAATTTGGAGTAGACTGAAGTGTGGCGCCTGCTTTAAAAGCCTGCTTTAAAAGCCTGCTTTGAAAGCCATTCTCCGTGATTACTTACACTAGGTCGGAGATGGTTTAGTTGTCAGAGCCATATTTCAGATGTTCCATGGATCGTTATTACGGGTTTGAATCCCATAATGGAATCAAAAGACGTTAAATGTTGGTTTGTTTGTGTCTGGCAGGGGTTGTGGGGTCGTTAACGTGTTTGCTCCTCACGCAGAAGACCAGGGTTCGATTCCCCACACGGGTGCTATGTGAGAAGCCCATTTCTGGTCACCCAATGCTTTATAGAGGTGTCTATACTGCCTCTTACTCACTTCCAATCAAGGACTGACTGACTGACTGAGTTTAGTTTGACGCCGCTTTTAGCAATATTCCAGCAATATCACGGCGGGGGACACCAGAAATGGGCTTAACACATTGTGCCCATGTGGGGAATCGAACCCGGGTCTTCGGCGTGACGAGCCAACGCTTGAACCACTAGGCTACCCCACCGCCCCTCCAATCAAGGAAAATATGTTTGTGTAACTAATGTCAGTTAATAAAGTTGCACATGATGTGGAACTTCGTAAACCTGTTGGTTAATGTGTGCATTAAATGGGCACTTAAAGTGATGTTTGATCAACCAAAGTAGAACAAAACTGTGGCCTTGTTTCTTTTGGAGTGACCACTTACATACGGGAATGGGGAAAGAAGTTGTGAATATTCCCCTGCTGCAGTAAGGCAGCTGCTTGAATCATGAGTGTTTAATGTGATTTGAAACTTCTGATTGCCAAATGAAGTAATTTGAAGAGTTGTCGTTGAATTGTCATTAGATGCGTTCAGTTCCATCATGAGAGGGGAGGTGGAAGTGATTCTGTTTGTTGTTTAAGGCTGCACTCAGCAATATGGCAGGGGTCTATAAAATATTGAGTCTGGACCAGACAATCCAGTGATCAACAGCATGAGCATCGATCTACGCAGTTGACATGTGTCAACCAAGTCAGCGAGCTTGACCATCCCGTTAGTCACCTCTACCAACAAGCATGGGTTACTGAAGATCAATTCTAACCCATATCTGTACAGGTCTAAAACCATGAAGCAGGTTGACTTGAACACAAGAACAAGACAAAGGTCAGTTATAGTTTAGAACAGTTTATGTACAAACGTAATTCCTGAAAGTGAAATTACTTCAAGTGATTAGTAATCACATACAAAAATAGACACTTGTACATCTCAGATAGTAGGATTTAAGGTTGTGTCAAAAGCTGATTTGCGATTCAGAGATTCCCCAAACTAAATGAACAAAAACGTTTATGATACAGTTTTGTTTGTTTGTTGTTTAATACTGCAATGCTACAGCTAAATTAAAGACATTCTAATACCCTATGTAACATTTCATTAATAAATACAACTGAAATTAAATTGTCGTGATAAACATAAAATATGTAAAATGAATCCCAAAGGGCATTATAAACCTTTGACACATCCCCTGGTGCAATAAACATGGTCAAACATTAACGTTTGTTGACATCACATATATAAAAATAATAATTTCATATATATTGATTTTTTTTTCAACAAGAAAAGAATTCACATTCCTAAACAAAACAGCAGACAAGCTGATTTATTACAAGCTCACTGGTTCCAATGTATGTCAGTCCAGTTTATCTTCTTGGAAGTGTAAGTTTCCCAACTTGGAACATGTAAAGATTACAGGAATGAAACATCTCATCTTTAACAGCTGTATGAGATAAACAGGTTCATCTTTGTGTGCACCATGGAAGAAAGTGGAATATTATTACTTTGGTAAATAAAGTGCATGGAAGCTGATAGAGAAATGATATCACAGTCTTGATAAACAATGGTTATACAAGCAGCAGCTGATGTATTGATATTGTACCGGTATATATTTTTCTCCTGGCATCTTTGTGATTTAATACTGAAGTGGAAATGTAAAGTGAAAAGATGTCTTAAAATTTTCTTTCTACATATGTTGGTAAAGCTAGCTTATGTCACATTGGATTCTGTTTGTTAAACAAGCATCTTTTCTGAGAGTAATTTGTGTGTGTTCAAACATGTTAATTTGACAGAAACACACCATTTATCTATCTCAATATCAGAATGTTGATCTGATTGGTTAAGGGGGTCTTGAAAAAGTTTTTTTCACCTGGGAGGAAAATATGTTTCTGAGTGGGGACACTCAATCCCTTTAATACCTCCTACAAAATGAGTGAGTGAGTTTAGATTTACACCGCTTTTAGCAATATTCCAGCAATATCACGGCGAGAGGGACATCAGAAATGGGCTTCACACATTGTACCTGCACACAAAAAGAACTAAAACAGCAGAGATGCTGCTCTGTGTACGAGTAAATGAAAGTCACGTGACATGAGTCAATAAAAGTCATGTGACCAGAGTTATTAAAAGTTATGTGACATGGCACATCAGCTCAATCTAACAGCTGTTTGCTAAGTGATTTAAATTTGTTTATTTTTTTTACCATAAGAGACAGAAATAAGTTGGCAAGACAAATATGTTGAACATGTTGCAGGGCTTGATTTAGTGCTTTGTTACTTACACTGGTGCAACCCAATATTACAAAGTGCAACCTAGTTATTAGTCTTACTCGCACCAGGTGCAAGTTAATTTTTTGAGAAATAAATCAACAATAAATCTAACATCATGGGCATAATTATGTCAGCTCATTTTTCTTCTAACCTTTGAATAATTCAATGGCATGTCTTTGTTTACATATTGCCGAAAAAGCAGTGCAACTGGAAGTTGACTGGTGCAACTAGGTTTTATCTCAGGTTGCACCTCGTGCAAGTAGGTTAATATCTCTTAAATCGAGCCCTGCCTTGTGACACTGTGACAGCTCACAGTCTGCAGGGCAATGAGAGACTCAATATAATATATGGCACCCAAGACATGTTGATTTCAACTTTTGGTTGCAAGTGAATATGCATTTATGGCTGTGCAGTGTTTGTTCAAATCCAGATTAAACTGTACATGCTAGCAGTGCATAAATAGTTTATTGAAATAGTACAAAAATTTAAGTAAGGTCAATACGGAATTACAATTACAAAAACACCCTTGTCATGTATTAGTGCATCCTTATCATATAACAGATACATTCATAGCAAATGGAACAATGTATGGCCTCATCACATACCATATGCATCCTTATCACATACCATATGCATCCTTATCACATACCATGTGCATCCTTATCACATACCATATGCATCTTTATCACATACCATATGCATCCTTATCACATACCATGTGCATCCTTATCACATACCATATGCATCCTTATCACATACTATATGCATCCTTATCACATACCATACAGCATGCATCCTTATCACATCCTTATCACATACCAAATGCATCCTTATCACATACTATACCATATGCATCCTTATCACATACCATATGCATCTTTATCATACAGTTTTCGCCAGAAATGTTTTAGAAAATCTTTGTTTCCTAATACTGATAACAGAATTTTAAAATAGGTGACGTTATGTAGCAAGGTATTCAATATGGGAGGCAACTCTTGTAGGCGAATGAACCGTCCTACATCAAGAGTTATCTCCCCTGGTGCAGCAGACGGCTTCCTTAAATGGTCACCTCCTTCTAATGTCCCGAACATTGTATGAAGATAATTGGATTTTCCAGCATGAAACTGACACAAAACACATACCACACACATCAATATACATCCTTATCATCAAATACACCCTTGTCATATTTACATCTCCATAATATCACATATACCACACACATGTCAATATACATCCTGATCATCACATACATCCTTGTCATACTTACATCTTCATGAACATCACATATACCACACACATGTCAATATACATCTTTATCATCACATACATCCTTGTCATACTTACATCTTCATGAACATCACATATACCACACACATGTCAATATACATCTTTATCATCACATACATCCTTGTCATACTTACATCTTCATGAACATCACATATACCACACACATGTCAATATACATCTTTATCATCAAATACACCCTTGTCATATTTACATCTCCATAATATCACATATACCACACACATGTCAATATACATCCTTATCATCAAATACATCCTTGTCATATTTACATCTTCATGAACATCACATATAACACACACATGTCAATATACATCCTGATCATCAAATACACTCGTCATATTTACATCTTCATGAACATCACATATACCACACACGTCAATATACATCCTTATCATCAAATACAACCTTGTCATATTTACATCTTCATGAACATCACATATAACACACACATGTCAATATACATCCTTATCATCAAATACACTCTTGTCATACTTACATCTTCATAATATCACATATACCACACACGTCAATATACATCCTGATCATCAAATACACTCGTCATATTTACATCTTCATGAACATCACATATACCACATGTCAATATACATCCTTATCATCAAATACATCCTTGTCATATTTACATCTTCATAACATCACATATACCACACACATGTCAATATACATCCTTATCATCAAATACACTCTTGTCATACTTACATCTTCATGAACATCACATATACCACACACATGTCAATATACATCCTGATCATCAAATACACTCGTCATATTTACATCTTCATGAACATCACATATACCACATGTCAATATACATCCTTATCATCAAATACATCCTTGTCATATTTACATCTTCATGAACATCACATATACCACACACATGTCAATATACATCCTTATCATCAAATACATCCTTGTCATATTTACATCTTCATAACATCACATATACCACACACATGTCAATATACATCCTTATCATCAAATACATCCTTGTCATATTTACATCTGCATAATATCACATATACCACACACATGTCAATATACATCCTTATCATCAAATACATCCTTGTCATATTTACATCTGCATAATATCACATATACCACACACATGTCAATATACATCCTTATCATCAAATACATCCTTGTCATATTTACATCTTCATAACATCACATATACCACACACATGTCAATATACATCCTTATCATCAAATCCACCCTTGTCATATTTACATCTTCATAACATCACATATACCACACACATGTCAATATACATCCTTATCATCAAATACACTCTTGTCATATTTACATCTTCATAATATCACACATACCACACATTGTCAATATACATCCTTATCATCAAATACACCCTTGTCATATTTACATCTTCATAATATCACACATACCACACATTGTCAATATACATCCTTATCATCAAATACACCCTTGTCATATTTACATCTTCATAACATCACATATACCACACACATGTCAATATACATCCTTATCATCAAATACACTCTTGTCATATTTACATCTTCATAATATCACATATACCACACACATGTCAATATACATCCTTATCATCAAATACATCCTTGTCATATTTACATCTGCATAATATCACAAATACCACTTGAAACGTTTTGCTCATTTATCTTGAACTTTGATAAAACATCTTCTTCCATAATAAACCACACCAGGATTCCTGTACAAACATCACTAAGAGACACAATGACACATATAGCACCAAACACAAAGTGAGTGAGTGAATCACAGTGAGAGTTCCACTTGAACAATATTTCAGTTCTCTCATGATAGATATTGGGGAAAAGCCCAGATTGTTGACATTTTCCACTTTGGAAATACCAACAGATTCTTGTATCTTTGTTTTATTTTATTCCAATTTACAAAAATTCAAATTTTGGGTCAAAATTGACAAATTTGGAGAATTATGAAAACATCCTTTCTTCTCCCATTATCAATAATGCACAGGGTCTCCTTTCATGAAGCAACCTTTACTAAGGTTAACCTTACTCCCACTCTAAGGTTACCTTAGTGACTTACGATCACCTTAGTGATTTGTGACAGGAGGCCCAGGTCAGTTTGAAAATGTCACACATTTTAGTCATCAGTGAAGTATACTCATCATTTAGCAAGAATAATACTCTAACCTTACCCCAAAACAGCTGCTTAAAGCAAAGAAGGTTAGAAATATAATGCAAAAAGAGTTAATGTCAGTGAATACCCAGTCTTGAATTGGAAATTGTACATCAAAGACTAAGTTCTCCTTCAAAAGAACCAAACTGGAGTAGTATGAGCACCTACTGCCATTGATATTCTAGAACCAAAGGGGTTAACTATTGGGTTGGTTTGGGGGAATGGAGGACTTGGATTTTGTATGGCACTAGTTTTCGTATTTGAGTTTTTCTGCTATGGCTGCAAAACCAGATAATTTTTAAAATCAAACTTTGGCCTGAAATATTGTTTTTTATAGACACCTTGCACAAATGTAACTTAGACAATTTCTTCATTTTTCAGTAGTCTCAAGCATCATCTGTTTTCAAGAATTTTCTGGGTAGATTTAGCGTTTATTATAAAAACCCTGTCGCCCCTGCAAATATCAGATGTTCTTCCAAAGAACAAAGTCGTATATCCACTGATCAGAAAGTAATATTTCATACATCAAACATGCACAAAAAACTCTTTACATTCCATCAGTTGTTCCATTATACATCCCAACACTGCTATTGATATTTTCCTGAATTTCTGGATGAAATTATTCCACTAATGGAGTTCCTAAGTGAGCAATTTTCTTCAAAATAATGGCACAAACACTTAACTCCAGTTGCTCCAAGTCTTGGGATCTATTGGTATTCGTTGCATTATTTATTCCTTCATCACCAAAACTCCATGACCTCTGTCAAGATTCATACTCTTCTTGAAGTTTCCCACAAAATTCCATGCCTTCAAGCAACTGAAAAACTCATTCTAGTGAATTATTTCTTCTAGTTTTCCCGTTTGACCACGTTATGTATTCCCTCGGCACCATTTTCTATGTATCCTAGAGATTTGATGGTCTTAAACTGATCAGGAATTTCCATCAGGGCATGAAGTGCGAAAGATGTTTCTGGATTTCTTGCTTTGGTAGTAACCCCGTGAAAATTCACAAATTGAAAATTATCGAACTTGCGCTGCGGTAGAAAGTTATCGAAGTTTTCCATTATATCCCAAGGTCCGTCGCCCACACCGACGACGATGATGCTCAAGGGGTAATTAGATGCCTCAACGATTGCTTGTATTGTGGTATCCTCCTCATTAACCTGACCGTCTGCTATGATAATCAAAATATGGTAGGTGCGGAGCTTCTGGATGATCTCTATTGCTTTGTAAATAATTGGAGCAAAGTTTGTAGGGCCACCTAATGTTATCCTTGTGGCTATATCGCTGTAACGGTCAAGCACCTCTTGAAAACCACAACACGGTTCTGATTTTGGCATAAAGGGGAATGTTCCTTTACCCATCGTGGAACTATCGCCAAAACCAAATGCTGGGATCAAATTATCCTCATCAAATGGCTCTAAGGTCTTTCCTATGATGGATATCACTTTCTGATATGGATTATAGATTTTTCCTGAGATCACCCGGTGAAGGTTCTGACCACTAAATGATTTCCTTCCTTGCCACTCATTGCTGGCGCTGAAGTCCACACCGATTATTAGACTACATTTTTCCAAACCGGCTCGCTTGCACCCCTTGCTGACTGCTTCAAAAGAATGAAAATGGTCTTCAAAAGCAAAGAATGTGTGTGAATGGTACGGCTCCAATCCCAGCATTGCCAGTAAAGATGGCTGGTTCTTGAATCGGATTGGCTGGCGAACCTCCATTCCATCTCCATCGACTTCATCGGAGCTGCTGTCCTGTTGTGCTTTCTTCTCCCGAGCCTGTTGATACAGCCAATATAGGAACATGGCCGTGATGTTGGCGATGATGTACAGCAGGCAGGACAGGAACGACATCGGGGATGACGTTGCCTGCTGCAGCATCACAGATGGGTTTCAAACTCCTTACACTGTTTAACTCTGAAATGAAACACAGTTTATTTAGACAAGGCTTCTTTCAGAAAGTTATGTTGTAAAAAAATTATTTTCAGATCAATAAGCTAATATGGCAGTTGAAAAATACATAGAAATACAATATATATGTTAAACATACCAATACTGAAAATCAGGTGGTGTAAAGAAAACTGATAAAAAATTAATGACAGGTCAAAATTTACTTCCTCTTGTAGGATCCAGGGTGATCGTTCAACAGCGGTTCAACAACTAATCTCCTTTAAAAATAATGATACATAATTGAGGGCCAAGTGACCCAAAAATATATTTTATTGAAATACTCCCTCTTCTGAAGTTACCATACAAGACATTCCCTCCTTCAAACACTACAGGGAAGGTTAGCCCAGTGGTTAAAGCAGTCTCTCATCACGCCAAGCCCAGGTCCGATTTAAGACCCATATGGGTACAATGTGTGAAGCCCATGTCTGGTGTCCCCTGCCGTGATATTACTGTAATATTGCTAAAAGCAGCATAAAACCCAACCCACTCATGCAAACCCCACATCCTGTCCACCCTTCCTGGATCTATTCATCAGTTTCTGCATCAACCAAAAGGTTTCAATTTTTCAATAAGCAGATAAAAACTGCTGACCACATCAATATTTCATGCCAATCAGGAAATTTCAAATTCCTGGTCCCTTGAGGTTGCAGTCAGCTTTGACACGTTAAACTGACAAAAGAAATACAAATAATTGTGAGTGTTCATTTCAAATCCCCATCATATTAATCTTGATTAATTTTCTTTCTTCCCCAAAGTGACAAGCAAATTCTGTGAACGACAAAACCACAACCATTCATAAATCATGGCTTCATCAAAGGGACAATATTTCCCAGAATGGAATCGGGATAAAAGAAATATTAGGGTTTGGAAGTAAATATTCACAAAGCTTGAACAATTTACCATATTGTCATGGTTTATGATCACGATTTAGTTAAAAAACATATTTTGAAACCTTTTAATCAAGATATTTCATCGTTTTGTGAAAGGGAGCATTAACTCCACAAGGATCAAGTTTATGGAATATACATAAGTGAGAAGATACAATTAATGCTTCCCTATTTAGAAAAATGGAGAAATTAATTGTCACATTTTTTAAAAATAAAACACTCTTTGAAGTCAAACATAGTGCATATTGCTTGTTGAATGATAACTATATATTGCTGCATAAATAAACAAGAAATATTGCTTGATGGATGACACTAGAGGATTAACTTTAAGAGTATGTGTTTCGCATCATGTCAGATCCTTTCTGTAACAGGATTTTTATCCTAAATTTTCCTGATCAGATACTGAAAAAAAATATATATATAAAGATGAATATTTTTGTGTATTGAATATATTGAATACACACAGTTTCATAACAATGTCCCCAAAATATTCATGATCCTCAACTTTTTAGTTTAGTATATTTATGATGCGTCATGATTTGTCTATTTAAAGACTGTAACAGAAATGCTTTTGAATGATTATAAAACATTTAACTGTTCATTAATCAGTGTTTAAATCATTAAAGATAGGACATATTTTAAATGTGTAAAATCTGTATATGGATATATATCTGCAGATGAATAACTCTGCATATAGTACATACTAAGAATTTATTCTACATCTACATATGTCATATTAATTGCATACTCACGCTCTCTCTGTTTGGGTGTGCCTGCATGTAGTATATGCCTCCATATCTCTCTTATTATTAATCCATATTTCAAGGAAATATAGATTGAAACAGTCCCAACCATCCTTATACTACCTTGCAAATGTCTGTGCCACTTTAAATATTCTTGGACATCACTGCATTCAAATGAAATACTGCAAGTTTGTTTATTTAAATGTTGAAATGATACAGTAGTGTGTATGTTTTATGCTGCTTTTAGCAATACAAATGTATTCCAGTATGACGACATGTTAGTTTGTTATCTTTATTCGCATTTATAATACATGCATAATTATACAAAATCTTCAGTCAAGTTTTATAAGTCATAATGCAAGAAGTAGTTACATAGACATCTATAAACTGAATCACTTTCGGGTGTTGCCCACCATTAATCTCGGATGCCATGAGTGAGTGAGAGAGTTTAGTTTTACACCACACTCAGCCATATTCCAGTTATATGGCGGCGGTCTGTAAATAATCGAGTCTGGACCAGACAATCCAGTGATCAACAACATGAACATTGATCTGCGCCATTGGGATCCGATGACATGTGACAACCTAGTCAGCAAGCCTGACCACCTGATCCTGTTAGTCGCCTCTTACAACAAGCATTGGTTACTGAAGATCAATAGTCGAACCCGGGACCTTCACAGGTTCTGATGCCATGAACTCACTGAAATTCAAATCTCAACAGAGCCAGAAACTGTGCACAGACATGATATTAAGGATCTGGGACTACGTGACAGGCTGTGTGTTGATGTTTAAATCCTTGACTCACGCTTCACATTCATATATCCCCTACACAATGACTAAGTACATTTAGACATATGCTCTACACAATGACTATGTATATCTACACTGTGTTACATACTTCTCCTCAGGTGACAGCACTGGAAATGAAAACATGCCTAGTCCAGCAAGACAGGCTGTCAGCTGGTCCAACAACCGTGCCATCTGACCCCAATTACCAAAACTGAGACGCACTGGTTCCATAACTGCATCTAAACACCAAGGAAGGCCAGCAGATACATCAACACCTCCTTAATTACCCATAACTCCATTTTAATACGATAAACACCTGGACTCTTTCATCTCAAACCATAGTGTTTGCGTTTACATGTTGCCGGTGGCCAGTGTAAACTACACCAAACAATCCAGTCAGTGACAAAGTAAACAACGGCACATAGGCTACAATGACGCGCTATCAACCATGTCGCTCATCCTCAATATACGCTCCATTTGTCCATTTAGTCGGTCCATTTGTCAATTTAGTCGTCTCTCCTGACCGGCGTATATCGGAGGGGATCTATTATAATCTGGAAATCCCACTGGGCTGGTTCAAACAACCACTGAAGTTAGGCCATGGTAGGAACAAGGTCATGTGTATATACAGGGGTGGAAGTAATTTTAAAATTGCTAGTGTACTCCGGTACAGTGGCACAAGTAAAATCACTTGCCCTGATAATTTTTCCACTATACCGTCCGTTTTTTGGTTGATTTTTTAAGCAAACAACATAATTAACATTGGAAAGTCAACTGGACACTGGTAGAGTGTGATTTACAAATTTGCTTGCCCGGGCAATGGGTTATTTCCACCCCTGATATATCGATTGCTGAAGTTGCAACAGTACTCCAAAGTCAGGTTAATGCTAAATTGCACAGTGACAGTGATGCAGGTATAATATTTTGGTCTATGGAGACAATGTAGTCAACACCCTACGTATATAATACAAAATATCAACATAAACTTGACAGAGAACATAATGTTAAACCTGTACTTACTGTGCATGTGTGCTCATATACTGGTAAATGTTAATATGGCATCTGGTGTATATGTACAGAGCTACAGACAACTTTTTGTGTCATTGAGTTATGTACTCGCTTGTGTTCATCTCAATTGGGTATCCTAATTTGTCCTTTCAGCAACCAAATTAATGTACCCACCTCACTCAAACTCAGCTGGGGTATTTTGCCATTTTCCATTAATTGTAAAAATATAATAAAGCTGAAATGTTGGTTTACGTGTTTGTTATTTATATTTGATCTGTAATATGAGAAATGATTAGAAAGACTGCAAGTTGCCAAGTTCATGTGCTGAAATGGAACCTCTCAAAATACCTGAGTTATTTTATCTATTTTTTGTTTGAACGCATGTAAGATCAAATTTATTGAGTAAGTACAAAATTTCAAGCGTACCTGTACGCAACAGACTTAATTTAAATTGAGTTTTCACATAAATATTTGCGTAATTTACGCAGATATTCAGCTTATCTTTACCTCTGTATGTGTCAAAACCTGTAAGTAAACCTACTGTTCACACATTGCGATACAGCTAACCTAATTTTCTTTATAATACAAAGTATTTTTAGATAGCTAGTCATCCGGAATGCAACAGCTCTTAAAGCACAGCTTCCATTAAAACTGCATGTATATCACCCTTCTCAGTGTCCTACTTTGTTGTGTTAGACAGATACTCCAGGTTAGTGACAAAGGAATGGGAACACTTTAAGAGGTCAGTTAAACAGCTGAGTCCCAATATTTGGTATCTTGCTGATACAGGTTTGATCGTGAAGCATCCTTTCTTTATTACAAACACTGTTGGGCTGAAGATAAACCTGGGACCAAGGTAATACTGTAAATTACCTGACACTCGACACAGCCATGAACTGATGATTAAATAAGGCGGAAAGGGTCGTTGTCCGCACACTGCTTGTACTACAGAAATGTACCCTACATAAAATAAACTATAGAAACGTACCCGGTAACCTAAATGGCCAATGGGTCCATATTTCGCGACCAAAAAACCAAAATTGTACGTAGTTATTCCCGTTCACCTGATTGCGAGCGGTATTCAATGCATCGTGAAATATTTGTTACTAACAGTGAATGCTCATTTCTTATATAACACATTCAAATGTATCTAATAAATCAGTATGACAGTTCCGATCAAGAAAGAAGCACAATGGAGAATGGACCAGTTCTAGGGTATGTTTCTGTATTCAGATTTTGGCTGTGTATAACTGAGGTACATATCTGTAGTTCCCATGCCAACAACGACCCCATCAGCCTAAATAAGGAATATGCAGAGACCAAGCTCTTACTTTGAGATGAACACCAGTTTGAGACATCAAGTTTGACACATCAGTGTTTGACTGTACATGGTTTGTTTTAAACGAATATATACTGCAAAAACATTGTATCTTACTGAATCTTATCTAAATAATTTCAAAATTTGAAAAAAATAAGACAAAGGTGGAAATTGAAAACTGAAATGAAAGATTTCTTTAATGACAAATGAAACAAGTGTTAA